TGCCGCCTTCAACGGGGCACCTGATGATGACGTCACGGGGGTGCCCAGGGTGCCCGATGATTATGTCACGGCCATTGACAGCTGTGCAGGCAGGGGTGCCAATTGCACATTCTGCCTGGGGCGCCCGCCGCCGCCAGCGCTTCATTTGCATTGCCTCTTCCTCAAAAAAGAGGCAGTGTAGATATAGCCTCAGTTTGGTTTCATTTTAACACTTAAATGGATGTGATTTTCAAGATTGCCAGGAGGACATCCATAGTCTGTGTATTGTTCCTAGGAAGTGTAATTGCATTCGCTCATTGTTGGCATTACAGCTCGACCACCAGATGAGAAGGTAGCTTGTCTTTGGTATTTCTGTGAAACTCCACCACTACAGTATCAGAATACCCCACAATCTGTTACACATTTTCTCTTCACAATCCCCCTGGAATGCAGGACAGTGCTCACAGAGACTAAGACCCCAATCCTGAATGGCATTTAGGTACCTAACATCTATTGAAAATCAATGGAGCACTTGAGTATTTTACACCCTTCATAGAGGTTACAAAAATTTCCTGCCCTTTTTTTTTAATTTTGAAAAATGTGGTGACCTTATCTCACCGTTCCTCTGTCTCATCGAATTTAAATGATCCATCCACCCTCTGGCTAAAATGTATTTGCATAAATCATTGATCAAATACTTTTGAATAATGAACATGTATGTAAGAGTCTGTGCCTGTTCATGCATAATTTATTGATGGTTTGCTGCAAATAGTTCACGGAGCTCCTCTTGTGATGTTCTCTAAATGGGGCATAGTAGAGGCAGTATTACCTTGTAATACTGATCTGCTTGGAGGAGGATCAGAGAATGACCCCCACCTCCAAATGACAGAGAGAGAGTAGATGGAAGGAAAGGGGTTGGAAGTGAAGGGAAATTTGGGGAGATTTTTCATAGATTCCAGAATCAAAGAACAGAAGGTACCACTGTGCTCATTTAGTTTGATCTCTTGGCTACTGTCTTTGGGCATCTCACGTTCCACCATGGAGACATTCTTAGGGTATGTCTACACAGCAGAGAAAAAGTCCAGTTAAGCTACGCGAATTCAGCTATATGAATTGAATAGCTTAAGTCGAAACATCTTAATTCAGCTTTTGGTGCATTCTACACAGCAGAAAGTCTAAGGAAGGACATTCTTCCTTCGACTTCCCTTACCCCTGACACAGCAGAAAGTCTAAGGAAGAACATTCTTCCTTCGACTTCCCTTACCCCTCGTGAAATGAGGCTTACAGGAGCTGGAGTAAGAAGTCCTCCAGCTCGACATTATTTTGAAATAATGGTTTGCTGTGTAGACGCACATTTTGTTATTTTGAAATATAGTCAGTTATTCCGAAATAAAGCTGCAGTATAGACGTACCATTAGAGATGGAGATAACCTATTCTGTTATCTAGTCCATGTCCCATTAGTATATAGTGTTGATCCCTAGCTAGTCATAAGAACACTTCCATGACTTCCCTTGGGAGATTATAGACATAGATACCACTTTTAGGAATATTTTCCCTTCTTAACTCAGATACTGTAGAGGCCAACAATAAATTATTCATTTTCTTGATTGATGTCTATGTAGCCCACACACCTTCTGAGTGTGATGAACTGACCCATGTAGTGGCACTGAGACCACGTCCAGAGAGAATTATCAGTCTGCTTTACAGCCTGCACTGAAAGCCAGATTTATAAGTCTGCTTTACAGCCTGCACTGAAAGCCAGATGGCTTTTATCTCATGCAGTAGACATTCATGTGCTGATTTCCACAGGTTCCAGGTTCAATTCCCCTGCCAGCATTACAATTGCCCTCTTCAACTTCTATAGCAAGTTTTCATTCCATCACCACCGTTAAATATTGTCTGCCTAATTTGTACATTTTTAGTCTTTCTGTAATCCTCATGAAAGAGACACTCTCTAGCCCCATAATAAATTTTGCTGGCCTAATCCCCTCTGCCTTGTCAATAGCCATCTAATAAGGCAGGATCTAATAGCCATTGAATAGTCCAGATGCTGGCGTCAGTCTCTGATTGTGTGTGCGGGAGGGGAGTAAGGAGAGGTTCTAGGTGGGTGGCAGAATGATCTTGCCTTTCAGCTGCATCCAGTGTTTCCTGGAGAAAGGTCTCATCCCCTGAACCCACCAGCTGGCAGCTCTGTAAGGAAGGAGAGTGCTTGAGTCCTGAAGATGGGACAAGAATGCTAAAATCCACCCACGATGTTGGCCTGCAACATGACTAAAGCAAATCCCTCTGCACCATGCCTCATAGTTATTGCATGGAATTTGGTATTTTACATAGAACAGCAGTTCCACTCTGCTTCTCTCCACACCTTGTTGGAAGTATCCGTTAAGATATATTAGGGGGGGCTGGCCCCTGTCCTGAAGGGTTGACAGTGTGTTTCCCTGAGAACAATATACATTGGCACTGGTGAAGATCAGCTTTTGTATACCTCTCCCACTGCAAACTTTCTGCTGACTTTGTTGCCATTGTGGGCTGAGAGAAAAGAGACTGTCACTATGGAAACCAGAGGGAAAACATACATTATATCCCACTTTAGACATGTTTCAAGGAAACCATTTAATACAGATAGGTGGGTACTACAATGATTTTATTTCTAAAGCTTCCCTGGCCTGTCTCCAATTCCACTACTGTCAAGGGGGCGTAAGGGGTAACAAAGATTAAATCTGAAAAAATAAAGCAAAAAGAAACATTCAGATGCTTCTTTATAGGCCCAGAAGAACTAAGTGAGGAGGCTACCACAAGAAAAAAGGTGTCATTTCCCAGCAGATGCCACAACAATAGCTCTCTCAAAGGTGTAATGGCAGCACTCCTACATGGCAACTACCCATCCCGAGGAGGCCCACAGACAAGGTCTTGACAAGAACCAGGCATGCTCGCTACGAATCAGTCTGATCGTCTTTTATTTGTGTGACATCATCCCATCCATGCCTTCTCACCCCCCACCCCAGCATCTTCCCTCGGTCTTTCCCAATCAAGCCTCCTGCACATACTTTGGACCAGCAACATCAGCAACTAACAGATTATTAAAAACTTTAGCAGCCTTCATGCAGAACGTACCAAAGCAGCCACATCATCAGACTGCTGTCACCCTGCCCTCCTCCCACGCCCTTTACTATCTGGGCTTCTTTCCACATTGTATCTTCTTATCTAAAGCTGTAAGCTAGCCAGGACAGCCTCCCGATGCCCCCAGGACTGTAAACAGCATTGTTCACTATTAGTGGTGATCAGACTCACTGTTTATCACCATCCAGTTGTGATTCAAAGCAATGGAGAGCAATTCCATCAGCAACATTCCTTGGAATGTCCAGACAACAGCACAGACTCAGCCTCTCCAAAAGCTGCCCAGAGTCTGAGGATGGGCAGCCGGCCACACCCTAAATACTGCCCTGGATTGTGCGTTTTATATTATCAGAACAAACCATTTTAATTTGTCAAAAAGTCACAAGGGGTGTTCGGCACTAATCACAATATCAAGGAGGAGCTGGTGGTAGTGATTGGGGGTATGTGCTCTCTCTTTAGCTAATAGTATGAGAGTTAGGACACTAATGTAGCAGGGGAAAAGCCTGGTTCAAATCCCTGTTCTGGATTTCAGTCACCCTTCCCAGCTGAGCACCCGACTACACTACTTGTTAATAGGAGGACACGGACTCCTCCATGACTCTAGCTCTCCATGTCTTTTGCTTTCATTAAATAAAAGGCTAGAAAAAAAAAAATCAACCTGATGTTTTGTTTCAGGTTGAATGAAACATTTAATTTGACCAGAAAAGAAGTTTCCAACTTTTTCAAATGGCTGTAAATTCTGATGAATTTTTTTCTTCAATTTTTCAGAACTGCCACAGAATAAAAATAAAGGTATTTGCTGTGTTCTAATGATGGGTCAGAAGTGATGCAGGGGATGTAGGATCATAGGGACCACATCTAATGCAAGCAGGGGTAGACAGTATCTTCAGCCCATGAGATGAAAGAGAGAGTGGCTGGTTCCTTGCACAGGGGCAACATGGGAAACACAGCTAGCTGCCTGTCGTCAGGAGGAGCTATAGGTCCTCTTTGGTTTGTGCTATCAGCATAACATCATGGTGTGTGACCCAAAGAACTTAACCCCTTCTCAGGAGCTGTCAAAAACATGTGGAATGCTCAGAGCTCTGGCAGGGATGGACATAGGGTGTAGAACCCTTCCGCAGAGAATAAAATGTTCTGTTCCCAGCAGGTCTATATCAAAACTAAGTCTAAAGGAATTGTCATAGTCCTGTCAGATGTATACTCCCATTGGAAACCAGAATCCTTTTATAAGCCCTCAACTGAAGCTCCCTCTTCAAAATCATCTGATGTCTTACATTAAAAACCTTACAGCCCTTCTAATAATTCTTGTACAAAGCAAAAGCAGGCAGGACACTGCTAATAAATAAATCAGATTTAATGATAAACAGTATATGTGTTTATAAAGAGTGAGTGAGACTTGATAAGATAGGGTGTTGCCATGGCACCAGAAGTCAAACACTTGTGTGTTGTACCTGTGAGCGATACATGGCGAGTTTGGAATGACGGACAAGTGGAGACAGGATTGGATCTCTCGGAGGCTATTTCTAGCAAACACCTATCATTCTTTGTCATCTGTCAAGTTACAGAATGAGCTAGCATTCAGCCCACAGCAATATGGATACATAAAGGGGCAGCATGTGAGGGATGGAAAACCACTCATAGGAAGAAAATACGTAGGATTGTTACTTACAGTTTTAGAATCAGATTCTGCTCACAGCTATGCAAGCCCAATTCCCATTTAAATCAATGGAAGCGACATACGCCTATCTGAGGGAATTCATCTGTCACTCTGAGTGCACCTAGGGCCCCAACACACCAAGAAACAGAAAAGACGCTGAGAGCAGCCAGGGACCAGGGCAAGGGAA